CCTTCCACTCAATGGAAAAGAGACAGATACTCAAGAAAACAAAATATGAAAATTATATATTAGACAAGAATATTATTGGCCAGGTGCGGTGGCTCATGACTGTAATCCTAGTGCTTTGGGAGGCCGAGGCAGGAGGATCGCTCAAGTCCAGGAGTTTGAAGCTGCAATGAACTATCATTGTGATTTTTTTTTTTTTTTTTTTTTTGAGATAGAGTCTCACTCTGTGGCTCAGGCTGGAGTGCAATAGTGCAGTCTCGGCTCAATGCAACCCCCGCCTTCCAGGTTCAAGTGATTCTCCTGCCTCAGCCTCCCGAGTAGGTGGAACTACAGGCCCCCACACCACCACACCTGGCTAATTTTCATATTTTTAGTAGAGACAGGATTTCACCATGTTGGCTAGGCTGGTCTTGGACTCCTGACCTCAAGTGATCTGCTTGCCTTGGCCTCCCAAAGTGCTGGGATTACAGGCATGAGCCACTGTGCCCAGTTCTACAATAAAAAAAAAATTTAAAAATTAGCTGGGCATGGTGGTGTGTGCCTGTAGTCTCAGCTACTTGGGAGGCTGAGCAGGGAGGATCTCTTGGAGCCCAAGAAGTGGAGGCTGCAGTGAGCCATAATTGCACCACTGCACCCCAGCCTGGGTGACAGAGTGACACCATGTCTCTTAAAAAAAAAAAAAAAGACAAGGATATTATTAGGCAAGAATATTAGGTAAGAATAATTCCTGTGAAGTAAAGAAGGGAATGAGATTGGAAAGTGTGGAGGAGAGGATGGAAAATTCCGGACAGGACAGCCAGAGGTTTTGCTCACAGTGAAACAAAGCCCAGACATTGGTGAGGGAAGGAGCCATGTGGATATTTGGCGGAAGAGCTTTCAGGCTGCAGGAACAGCCAGTCATAGGATAGGAGAGGATAGCCCCGGGATAGGATCAGGCCGGATATACCCCAGGAACAGCGGGGAGGCCATTGTGGCTGGAGTAGGATTGATGGGGAGAGTGAGGTGGGGTGAGGTCCAAGAAGGAAAGGGACTGGATCCTATGGGACTTTGAGGGCCGTAGTGAGGACTCTGGTTTCTACCTTGAGGGCAATGGGATGAGGAGGGCTCCGAGCGGAGGAGAGCCCAGATCTGACTCAAATGTTGATGGGTCCTTGTGGCTATCAGAGGTGGGAGTGCAGGCAGGCCAGCAAGAACCTAGAGAAGGCTGCTGCAGAGGCCAGATGGGCGACCATGGTGGACAGAACCAGGGCCAGGGCGGAGGTGGCAGAGGGAGAGTATTATGTATATATCCAGGGTGGAAAGTGCAGCATGAGAGAGCAGGGGAGGAAAGCAGAGGATACAGAGGGCAAGGGGAGCTAATGGTGCCCAAGCCCACGCCCTACATCCTCACATCAGCCCCCTGAAGGAGCGTCCAGCGTGGCCCGCAGCCTCCCTGGGCGATTCTGGGCCCGTGGCTGGGCAACACAGAGCCAGGACTGAAGCTCCAGGTGGAGCCCAGGTGCTGTCCCTGCCTCGATGTCCCCCGTTATCTTCCCCAGACTACAACACGGTGCAGACTGTGGGCATGACTCTGGCAACCATCTTGTTCCTGCTGGGTATCCTCATCGTCATCAGTAAGTGTGACCCGTCCCTGGGCTGCCTGGGCCTCCGGTTCCTCTGCTGGCTTTCGTGCATATCCTACGCCCTATGTCCTGTCTTCTTGTTCTGTCTCTCTCTCTCCCAACAGGCAAGAAGGTGAAGTGCAGGAAGGCAGACTCCAGGTCTGAGAGGTCTGGCAGCAGTGGGCAGAGAGTGGGAGGGGGCCTCGGGGTACCTCCCTAGCAGACGGGCAGGATCCGCTTGGCCTGCCATGTGTTTTCCCCAAAGCCTATGGTTACTGAACCTCTTTCTACTTTTCTCTCTCATCTCTGCCTCCACAGCCCAACCTGCAAATCCTGTAAGTCCGAGCTTCCCTCTTCAGGTGAGGGTGAGAAACTGTGGTTCTGGGAGGGTTTTGGGAAGTCTTGTGGATGGACTGGGCAGGGGGGCTGCCCGCAGATATCACAGGACAATTCCCTAGGAAGCTGAGGAAATGCCGCAGATGAAAGATGCTAAACCTGGCTGGGTGCGGTGGCTCATGCCTGTAATTCCAGTACTTTGGGAGGCCGAGGTGGGCAGATCACCTGAGGTCAGGAGATTGAGACCAGCCTGGCCAACATGGTGAAACTCTGTCTCTACTGAAAATACAAAAATTAGCTGGGCATGGTGGTGCGCACCTGTAATCCCAACTACTCAGGAGACGGAGGCAGGAGAATCACCTGAACCTGGGAGGCAGAGGTTTCAGTGAGCTGAGATCGCGCCACTGCACTCCAGCCTGGGTGACAGAGTGAGACTCTGTCAAAAAAAAAAGAAAGAAAAAAAAAGAGAAAGGAAGGAAAAAAGGAAGGGAGGGAGGGAGGGAAGGAAGGAGGGAAGAAGGAAGGAAAGGAGGGAGGAAGGGAGGAAGGAAGGAAAGGAGGGAGGAAGGGAGGGAGGGAAAAGAAAGATGATGCTAAACCGTGGGGAGGCAGTGAGATGTGACATGTCCCAGAGTCCACGGAGATTCCCAGAAACAAATGCTCAAGCCTGTAAAAGCCAGGACATGCTGATTTCCCAGGAGAGGAAACTACAGGCCTGTGAAGAGAAGGGCCCCATGTGGGAGGAGCTCTGTCAGTCAGGAGGGAGAGACAGGGAGCACTGAGGAAGACGAGGAGAGGCTTTCCAGACTTGATCGTTCAGATCCAGGATGAAATAGCCAAGGAAAAGGGACAGAGGGAGGGAGGGAAGGTTTCTGAATCGTTGCATCAAAATAACAAAAAGAGAGATGAATAGAATGCAGATTTTAGAATTCACATTGGAAAAGAACATATGGGATGCAGGGAGTGTGAGGATGGAGAAGAAAGCTGGGAAGCACAGGAGGGGGTAGAGTGGAGAGGATGGAGGTGTTCGGGGAGAATGTGGGAAGGAGGAGCCCAGGAAGGAAGGGGAGGAGGATGGGAGGAGGACGGCCTGCAGGGTGGAGGAGGGAGAATGGGTATAAGCCTGGAAGGTGTAAAGGGAGAACGAGAGGGATGCAGGGCAAGCAAGCATGTCGATGAAAGATTCTGACTCCTTGGGGCTGTTAATTTTAATTATGTAAAAATATCTTGACCTGTTTTTAGTGGAAATGCAGCCTTTCCGGAGACTTGTAAAAAACCAGAAATGAGAATTTCTGTGTCTCCTATAAAGTTCTTATAACAATAACAACAAAAAAAAGCAGGAGGGGCACACGGGTTATTCAGTGGTTGAGGGGTATTTGGTGTGGAATTTGTTTCAGGTTCCTTTTTTTTTTTTTTTTTTTTTTGAGACGGAGTCTTGCTCTGTCCTCCATTGCCCAGGCTGGGGTGCAGTGGCACGATCTCAGCTTACTACAACACTGCAACCTCTGCATCCCGGGTTCAAGCGATTCTCCTGCCTCAGCCTCCCAAGTAGCTGGGACTACAGGCACACACCACCGCACCCAGCTAATTTTTATATTTTTAGCAGAGATGAGGGTTCATCGTGTTGGCCAGGCTGGTCTCAAACTCCTGACCTCAAAAGTGCTTGGATTACAGGCATGAGCCACCACGCTGGACCTGTTTCATGCTTATTTAATGAATTTTAAAACATGAACAGGGCACTTATGGATGCGTAGGGCAGCATGGGGGTTGGCCTTGTCACCTGGGGCACAAATGAAGACTTTGCACAGGTTTCTGGTCTCTCCTAGGTGAATGATGGTCTGGAGCCGGTAGGGAATGGGGGAATTCCCATTGTAGCCAAATGTTCAGGACAGGGAGTGTAGGAAAGGAGTGAGGGTGTAGGAGGAGATTGCGGATGGGAATGGGGATGGGGACTCCCTTTCTGGCAGGGGGACAGCCCCAAAAGCCCAGGTTGGGTCTGGGGCCGCCAGCCCCGTGGCAGGTGTTTCACTCCATGACAGCAGCCAGAGGTGTCCCCAAGGGAACCAGGCATTAGAGTGTGGAAGGCAAGACAGCTCCTCAGTGTTAGCTCAGGGGTGACAGTCCCTGGGGTCTGTCTGGCTTCCATGGTGCCGGGGAATGGAGAGCCAACGAGCTGTGGGGAGGGAGGCAGTTTCCACCTCTCTGGTGGCTCACGCACCCCCCCTCTCTCCCCAGCCCCTGGTGGCGGCGGCGTGTAACACCTGCCCGAGGAACCTCCGCTGCCGACCCTGTCTGAGCGCGGGAGCCTGAGGACCGGGTGGAGGCGGTGGGGACCCAGCCGCGCGCCGGGAGCGCTCCCCGGAATGAGCCGCCCCACCCACCCCAAGGCTGGAGCCGCTGCACCCTGCTGTCCCTCCCCAGGCCTTGGCAATGATGATCCCCCAAAGAGCCCGTCTGCACCCCAGACCCGGGGCCTCAGGCCTCCAGCTCCTGGGATCCGGGAGTCCATCCCGGCCCAGCCCCGCCAGCATCCCCGTGTACGGTCCCCCTGCACCTCCTTGTCTCATCCCCAAAGATCCGTCCCCCTGGGCCCTCAGTGTCCTTGTCTTGAGCTTAATAAATGTGCATTTGGTTTTTTCTCCTGTTCTGTCTGTGTGTTCTCATCTATGGGGCACGGTGTGGGTAGGGGTGCAGAACTGAACCTGGGGTAGCTCTCCCCTGCGTGCCCAGGGTTGCCCCCTCTTCCTTCTCCTCTCCCTGTGCCCCGAGTTGCCCCCCTCCAATCCCTTCTTCCTCAACACCTCCGGATTTGTCCTTTCCCTTCCTCCAGCGACCCCAGAATAGACCCCTCCCCTTTCTCCCCCTGCTTTCTCAGAGGCGTCCACTCACACTAGACCTGCCGGCCCCATCCCCGTCCCCACCCTCCCCCACCACTGTGCCCTCACCCCTGCCCCCCGTTGCCCTCAGCGGCTCCCCCTCCTGCTCCCACCCCGGGCTCTGAAGCCAGGAAACCCAAGAGGAAATGACTGAGCCCGTCTGGGTCCCCGCCCGCTCGCGCTCCCCTGGCCACACCCTCCGCTTGGACGCAGCAGCCACCGCCGCGTCCCTCTCCCCACTAGGCTGCCGGCTCAGGACCCCCAGCTCCAACGTAAGTGCCTCTCGCGCGCCACCTCCATCCGCTGCCCCTCTGCCCACGGGCCGGGCTCAGGTGGATAGGGGTTTGACCCCTTCCGCCCCTCTCTGTCCCCCATCCACGCCCACATCTCTCTGCCTCCTCTCCTGGGCTACAGTGGGCCGCTCTGCCTCGCTCCCGCCGGCCTGCCTCAGTCTCCCCAGCTGTTTGCCACCCCCCTCGGACCAGTGCTTCTCAGATCTCCCTAGCGCGCCATCCCTGCAAGGCAGCCCCTGACACCAACTCACTTTTTCCTCTGAGCGCAGGAGGCGTTACTCACTCTTCCTCCTTCCCCTCCTTGCCGACTCCTGGGCTCTGGGCCCCTGGGGGAGGGAAGAGGCCTCCTATCTACTCCTCTGCCCCAGTCCCCTCCTTGCGTCAGTCCCAGTGAGGGATAGGCGCCTGGCGGAAGGCGCAGGGAGGTGCTTCTCTGCTTCAGGGGCGCCTGCCGGCCCTTGCAGCTGCTAGGAGATCCATTTATCTGTTGCTTCTTGTTTTCTTTGGGGACCTGCAGGGGAAGGAAGCAGGGTGACTGTTTGATATCCCCACCTAAGACCCTCCCCTTTGCCCTGAGGCCAGCCGTCTGCCCTGGCAGGGGGTCCTGGAAGCCAGAGGTGTTTGCTCAGGGCAGGGAAGGGGCTGCAGGATCCCCGGGGGCTGCCAGAGGCCGGCCTCGCTGACATCATGGCTGACCCCAGCATCGCCTGGTCCCACAGATGTCGCCCTTTGGTCGCCTGTGTCTTCTCACCATCGTTGGCCTGATTCTCCCCACCAGAGGTAAGACCCGTCTGTGGCCTCCACCCTGCCCCTGAGCCCCCAGCCAGGCCAGCCCTACATGTGCTGCAGGGTGGGTGGCTGGCGTGTGTGAACGTTCTGTCCCGCCCTGTCACCCTCCCGCTGAGCCGGCACCAGGAAGTGGGGATCCCTATGGCGGGGCGACGTTACACCCTCTTTGGACACCTCAAACCCAGGTGGCTGCTTCCAGTGAGTCTGGCCAGGGCCTGTCCTGCTGAGCATCCTCCAATTTCACCTCCAAGAAGAACTCGCTGTTTGATTTGGCGGGGAGATTGGTGTCAGTTTTCTACTCAGCGGCCAGGAAACCTCGGCTCCCAAAAAAGAGGATCACTGGGTTCTGGGGCATTACACAGTTAGGCAAAGCTGTTGAGCTGGGGTTGGTCCAACGAGTTGGTGACATCTCGGCCTTGCCTGGAAAGTGTCTCCTGAAAGACAGGAACCGCGGGGGGTCATTGAGCATCCCTTCTGCATGGCAGGTGTGGTGTGTGGTGTGTGTTAGCTCAGTTAGGCTTTGCCTCTGACAGTCAGTCACACCTGTTGTCATGCCCATTTTACTGATGAGGAAACTGAGGCTCAGCGAAGGGAAGTGCGCTGTGTCAGAGGATAGTGTATGGGGGAGCTGGGAAAACAACTGTCCTGCCTGCCCCCAGAACCCAGAGTGCACGCCCCACTGAAAGCACCCTCACTTCTCCTTCATAAAATGATTTTCATACACTCATTCAGTCATTTGACAAATATTTATTGAGCACCTACTATGTGCTAGATATTCTGTGCACTGGGGAAACAACAGTGAATAAAACAAGAGGTCACACTCTAGTGGGGAGAGACAAATTAGTAAATTATATCATGTGCTAGGAGGTGCTATGTGCTTGCAGAAAAGTACAGGTAATGAGGATTGTTTAAACTGGGTGGTCAGGGAGGGCCTCACTGAGGAGGTGACATTGGGACCAACAAACACTTGAAGGAAATGAGGGAATGAGCCTTGCAGGTGTCTAGGGGCTAAGTGTTGTCTGGTGTGCTTTAAGAATAACAGGCAGGTGGGGTGGCTGGATTGGGATGAGAAGGGGCAGAGTGGGATGAAGAGAGGACAGAGAAGTGATGGGACCAGATGGAGGAGGACTTATGGGCCACTTGAGGGCTTTGCTTTTATGTAGAGCGAAGTGCAGCCAGGGCAGGGCTCTGAGCCAGGCAGGCCCTGACCTGACTCAGGTGGTCCCAGGCTCCCTCTGGCTGTAGGTGGGAACAGACTGTGGGGGCAGGGACAGGAGCAGGGAGCCCAGGGAGGAGGCTGCTGGGATGTCCAGGCTGGAGGGTACGGAGGCTGGGCAAGGGTGGGGGCAGTGGAGTTATCCAGCACTGACTACATGGTAAGCAGTGTGGGAGACTGTTTCCCTGCTCTGTGTCATTTCACCCTATTTACAGCCCTGTGCAGTAGATTCAATTATTATCCCCGCTTTGCAGATGGAGCAACTGAGGCTCAGAGAAAGGACTTTATTTGTTCCAGGTCACACAGCAAGAAAGTTGTTGGGGGCAGGATTTGAAACCAGGGTCCGGGCTGACCCTAGCACCTGGGCTCACTAGACTAAACTGACTCTCCCACCCCACAGGGATGGGCGGGGAGGGGGCCTAGAAGAAGGGTTCCCAGGCATTGGCATAGCTGAAAACCCTTTCCGAATTATGGATTGATACTGTCAAAGCTGAGTGATTCCACCAGCAGACAGGACCCCTAAGGTTTCACCAGGGAGTGGAGGGCGGGGGTGGTGAGAGGAGCAGGACCAGGCTCCCTCCTGACTTCTCATCTTTGATTCCCTAGGACAGACGTTGAAGTATACCACGTCCATTTCTTCAGCAGACCCAACTATCATGGACATTCAGGTCCCGACACCAGCCCCAGGTGAGGAAAGAGGGACATGTCTATCAAGATCCTGTCATTGCAAATAACAACAGCAACAAAAATCCCAAACTGGGACCCAACAAGGGAATTTATGGATTTATGTAACGAAAAAGTCCAGGTACAGACCTTCAGGCATGGCTTGATCTAGGTGCTCAAATGATGCTATCAGGAACCTCTCTCTACCTCTTGGGTCTGTTTTCTCTGTGTTGTCTTCATTTCCAGGAAGAGTCTCTTCTCATGGGGCCAAGATGATCCCTTGAAGCCTGGGGCTCTCATCCTGTCTGCTGAGAATCCCAGCAAGAGAATTTCCCTTCCCCAGTCCAGCAAATGTCCCAGAACTGAGTTATCTTTGGCCAGGCTCAGGTCGTATCCCTAAGCTGACCACTGTGGCCACAGGCATAGGAAGCTGATTGGCCAGGCCTGGGTTCCATGTCCAACCTCCACCAGGGCTGGTGTCAGACCTGTTGCATAAAGGGGACCAAGAGTCAGGGAAGGATGGTCCCTAAAGGAAGTTCTGGGGCTTTTTCTCAGAGCAAGGGCATTTGGGAAGCTGAGTTAAACACTTTCTTTTTAGGCAGCACTTCTCAGAGTCTTGAGAAAGCTAATTTGCAGCCAGCACCTCGAAGAAGGAGCTGTAGTGTGGCATCTGTGGGACGTAAGGTCCCAAAGAAGAGGACATATTGGTAGCACATTTCAGCAGTTAGCAAATGGCTGGATTAATTAAGCCATTTCTATTACATGAAAATTGAGTTGCTATGGGAATCTTTGGCATCTCCATCCATAGGTCTTGTCCACTTCTTTTTCTCTCTCCTGTTCTCTCCCTGACCCCTTGTTTCTGGACTCCAGACGCAGTCTACACAGAACTCCAGGCCACCCCTCCGACCCCAACCTGGCCTGCTGATGGTGAGTAGCGCAGGGGCAGGGGATGGGGACAGGACCAGGGCAAACAAAGTTTCCCCTCTTCTCTGACATTCTAGGTCTTTGGTTGCCCATTTCAGTCCCTACTCCCAGCTCTGAATGCCCTGGTTTACTTTGGGTGGGGCAGCCAGCCAACTCCATTCAATTTTTTAGAAAAAGAAAACCAAAACACTTTTGAAATTGTGAAATTAGCGTGCATATAGAAAAATACAAAACCCATAAATTTACAATGTAATGACTTACTCTAAATTGAATCCCTATGGAACTACCAACCAGGTCAAAGAGCAGAGCTTTGCAAACACCCCCAGAAAGCCTCTGTGTGCCAGTCCCATTTGTTTCTTCCTTTCATCTCTTTTTTCTCTGATCCCTTTTTTGAATTTTTTGAACAATTTTTGGATGCTTTCTTGGAGTATAATTCAAAAAGTGCTCCCGGCCAGGCACAGTGGATCACACCTATAATCCCAGTACTGTGAGAGGCCAAGGTGGATGGATCACTTGAGCTCAGGAGTTCTAGACCAGCCTGGGCAACACAGTGAGACTCCATCTTTACAGAAAAATACAAAAATTTGCCAAGTGCATTGGTGTGCTCCTCTAGTCCCAGCCACTCAAAAGGCTGAGGTGGGAGAATCACTTGAACCCGGAGGCAGAGGTTGCAGTGAGCCAAGATCTCGCCATTACACTCCAGCCTGGGCAACAGAGCGAGACCCTGTCTCAAAAAAAAAAAAAGTACTCCCCAATTTTTTCAATCGATGTTTAAAGACACAGTAGTACATAAACACATTCTACCTGGAAAGAATGAAATGATTGTAGGTAAAACTAAACCCCTTTGTCACCTCCCCTCCCCAATCCTTGTTCTCTCCCTCTGTCTCCGAGAGGTCCCCACTGTTAGTATTGGGGTAGGTCCCCAGTGATACCATATCCCATGTGTATCACCTGGAGAAAATGCACTGACTGTGTGCTGTGTTTGTGTGAGCTTAAGGAGATCGGATGATTGTTCTGCAACTTGCTTTGCTTCTTCATGCAGTGGCATGTTTGGAAGTTCTCACATCACTGCAATAAAGACTCATTTTGCTTTCTCTGCTGCCTGGTATTTCACAAGGCGCCTATGTCACAGCTCATGGAGTCACACACTTCTTGATGCACATGTTGGCCGTTTCCAGCTTTTTCTGTCTACACGCAGTGCCACAATAAGCAACCTTGTCCCTTCCTCCTTGAGCAAACGCAGTTGGAATATGTACTGACTATGTGCTGGTCATAGTTCTAAATATTTTGCGTAGGTTAACTCATTCAGCCTTCACGCAAACCCTAAGAGGCAGAAATTACCATTGTCCCCATTTTACAGACAAGGAAACAGAGGCGCTGAGTAACTGGTTCAAGGTCTCACAGCAAGTCACGGACGCAGCAGGAATCAAAGTCCAGGAATCTGGCACCAGAGCCTGTGCTTTTATCCAAAACAGTACAGGGCAAAGAACATGCATGCTTCATGTTTTAAAATTTGCCCTCCTGCCGCCCAGGCACAGTGGCTCATGCCTGACATCCCAGCACTTTTGGAGGCTGAGGCGGGTGGATCGCTTGAGCCCAGGAATTTGAGACCAGCCTGGGCAACAAAGCAAAACCTATTCTCTACAAAAAGTACAAAATGATTAGCTGGGCATGGTGGCATGTGCCTGTAGTCCCAACTACCTGGGAGGCTAAGGTGGGAGAATCACTTGAGTCCAGGAGTTCAAGGCTGCGGTGAGCTATGATTGCACCACTACACTCCAGCTCAGGCTAGAGTGAGACCCTGTCTCAAAAATAAATAAATAAATAAAAGTAAAAATAAAAGTTGCCTTCCCAAGTGGCTGTGCCCACTTCCTCACCCACCAGCAGTGTGCAGGAGAGTGTCCCCCTTCCCATCCCTACAGTGACACTTGGTATATTGACGTCTTCAGGTTTTGCCAGCCTCTTAATTTTTTTCTGAGATGGAGTTTTGCTCTTGTTGCCCAGGCTGGAGTGCAATGGCGCAATCTCGGCTCACCACAACCTCCGCCTCCCGGGTTCAAGTGATTCTCCTCCCTCAGCCTCCCGAGTAGCTGTGATTACAGGCATGAGCCACCATGCCTGGCTAATTTTGTATTTTTAGTAGAGACAGGGTTTCTCCATGTTGGTTAGGCTGGTCTTGAACTCCCGACCTCAGGTAATCTGCCCGCCTCGGCCTCCCAAAGTGCTGGGAATACAGACATGAACTACCGTGCCCGACCCCAATTCACTCTTTTTTCTTCTTCCCTCCTTGCTCTTCTGACCTGAATAGAAACACCACAACCCCAGACCCAGACCCAGACCCAGCGACCGACAGGAGTGGATGGGCCTCTAGTGACAGATCCAGAGACACACAAGAGCACCAAAACAGGTACGGCATGGGACTGAGAGCAAGAGCCTACGATTTTTATTTAATTCTCTATCTAGGTCAACATTTCCCTCAGTATATTTCTCGGTGCCCCTGTTTGGGGAATTGTTAACACATTTTAAAAAAATGTTTTTGGTTTGTGGTCAAAGTTATTTGGGGAACCCTGAGTTAAAGTTAACCATGTTTCTTTATGGCAGGACTTCTGAGAGTCTTGATTAAGCTAATTTGCAGCAAAGGATCCCCAAGGGGCAGCATGTAGTATGCAGTGTTGCCCTAACTGGTAGAACTTTCTTGCCATCAGTTCCCCTCGGAGGCTGGTGCTATAAAATGTGCCTGTGGATATTTCTTTTTTGTACATCTCCTTAATGTTAGAACAGGAGCTTTTCAGTTGCAAAATATAGAAAATTCACCTTAAACACACACACACACACACACACATACAAGACTGATTGGCTGTATAAGTTCTGGAAAGTCTAGAAGTATCCAACTTCAGGCATAGCTGGATCAAGGCGCATAAGCACTGTCATGAATGCTTTGTTCCCTCTCTTGGTTCTGTTGTCTTCATTCTCGACTAACTTCTCCCCTCTGGATGGCAGAGATGGTCCCATAGTTCTAACTTTAGTTCACATACCTGGTGGCTGGAGAACAAAATCTTTCCCATTATTTCTAGCCTGAGGCCTAGAATTGATTCTCATTGGTCCAGCTGGAGTCACATGCTCATGTCTGAACCAATGAGAGCCTGAGAAATGAGCTATTCTCATTGGTTAGGCCTGAGTCTCGTGCCTCACCGTGGGGCTAGAGAAGAGGTTCAGCCAGCCATGCCTGAACCACACAGACCAACAGTCAGGGAAGAGGGGGGTTTCCTCTGGACAAGTGAGTTAGTATTACCAGAAGGTGTGGGAAAGGAGACTGAGCTGAGATAAGGCAACAGATCGCCTCTAATGCCTGTGTGATGATCCTTGTTTGAGGGGCAGCCCCCTAACTGGAAAGTATTGTGGTGTAGGCCACTCCCAGGCTGAGAGACATGTACAGTTGTGCAGACTGGGCACTAAACAAGAGCATCACCTCTGAGGCTATGCTATTCCCTTTGTCGGTCTTTATAACTGTTCCAGTTTTCTAGTGACAGCAGTAAAGCATCTCATTCTTACAGAATCTATTAAAACAATCCTACAACAGATGGAAATAAAGTGCCTTACAGAAGGGAACTTTTCTGTTTTGCACAAAAGTGGACCTGTAGGGGGTGGGGGATAGCAGCTGTGTCCACACTTATCAACTGATAAAGCATTCTCACATCTCTGCATTAATTTACTGAGTCTTTGCTGACCTGAGTTGCTCTATGTATTGGTCCATGTTCCTCGATATATGTGACAGAAATTCATCAAGGATAAATGGCTGTCACTGCTGAGCCTCTGGGTTGCTTAGAGGCTGGGCATGAAAGCCCCCAGGCCTCTCTTCCTCCTCTATCTTTGCTTCTCTTCCACCTAGGAAGGAAATGGCTCCTTCCTATTTGAGCTTCCTAGCTCAAAGCTTCCAGGCTTCACCTAGGGTTTTAATCTGCTCAGGTTACCGTAACAAAATACCACAGACTAGATGACTTAAACAATAGGAATTAATTTCTCCCGGTTCTGGAGATGGGAAGTCCATGATCGAGGTGCCAGCAGTGTTGGTTTCTGGCGAGGGCTCCCCTTGGGTCACAGACAACCATTCTCTTGCTCTGTCTTCACCATGTCCTCTCCATGTGTGGGTGGGCTTGTGAGCTTGAGAGCAAGCTCTCTGGTGTCTTCTTATAAGGGCACTAATCCCATCATGAGGGCCCCACCCTCATGATCCTATCTAACCCTAATTACCTCCCAAAAGCCCTCGCTCCAAATACCATCACATACGGAATTCCGTGGGGCGGATAGAATTCAGTCTATAGTACCTAGCTGTCACTCAATATCCCTACTTGGGATTTCAAAGGTCTCAGGGAAGGTCACATACTTCCTTTTGTAGCCTGGGTTATAACTGGGGAAGGGAGGGCAATGTCCTCCCACAAAGAAAGGGGGAGTTATTCCAGAAGGAGGAGGGAGTGCTGAGCAAACATTAACAGCCAAGGCTGACTTTTGCTGAGAGCTTATTCATGCTGGGCACTGTGCTAAACTTTTGTATATTCAGTCATTCAATGCTTGTGATCATCCTGTGTGGTGGGAACTGTCATTACTCCCATTTTACAGGAAAGGGAACTGAGGCCCAGAAAGGTTACTCAGCTTGCCTTAGGCAATACAGCCAAGAGTGGTAGAACCAGAATTTGAGTCTAGACTGTCTTGCCCCGGGGTGCATGAGCACTGCACACCAGTATGGCTGTCCTTTGCATTCCTGTGGTCTCTGCCGTTGATCTGGCTTATGCCTTCCTCTGGGCAATGCATTCCCTGAATATCTTGTAATCCTTGGCTGCCAGTTCCTATTTAGGGTGTGGGGCACCGAGATAGTTCCAGGGAACTTGGGTTTCATGAGGGAGCTTCTCTGCCTGCTGGCTTCTTGTTGAGGCCTCAGATGTGGTGTGGTGGCACTTCTCAGTGCTGGGGGAGGCCTTTTCTTTGGAGGTACTGATTTTTTTTTTTCTTTTTTTGAGGCAGAGTCTTGCACTTTCACCCAGGCTGAAGTGCAGTGGCATGATCTCAGCTCACTGCAAGCTCCTCCTCCCTGGTTCAAAATTCTCCTGCCTCAGCCTCCCGAGTAGGTGGGACTACAGGTGCCTGCCACCACACCCGGCTAACTTTTTTTGTATTTTTAGCAGAGACGGAGTTTCACCATGTTAGCCAGGATGGTCTCAATCTCCTGACCTCATGATCCACCTGCCTCAACCTCCCAAAGTGCTGGGATTACAGGCGTGAGCCACCACGTCCAGCCCTTTTTTTTTTCTTCAAGAGAAGAATCCTTTGGTATTTTCCGTCCTGGGGGCAGAAATGATATTCAGAATAGTTTTGTTGTTGTTGTTGTTGTTTTGTTTTTGAGATGGAGTCTTGCTCTGTTGCCCAGACTGGAGTGCAGTGGTGAAATCTCGTCTCACTGCAAACTCCCCCTCCCGCGTTCAGGCAATTCTCCTGCCAGCCTCCCGCGTACCTGGGATTACAGGTGTGTGCCACCAGTCCCGGCTAATATTTGTATTTTTAGTAGATACGGGGTTTCACTGTGTTGGCCAGGCTGGTCTTGAACTCCTGGCTTCAGGTGATCTGCCCGCCTCAGTCTCCCAAAGTGCTGGGGTTACAGGCATGAGCTGCTGCACCTGGACAATATTCAGAATGTTTAAAAAGTGTCTCCAGACTATGTAGCTGGGTCAGAGTCCCTGGCAGGTGTTGCTTTTTAGTTCCTTTATCTCCTGGGTTATAGTGTGGGCCAAAAGGTCTTAGGAGAGGTGTCTGGAGTCCCTCAGGGATTGAGGCAGATCAGATAGTCATAACCAGGGGGTACATGCTTATTTCAGCATTTTAATGCCTGCCATTACTTACTGCCTCTGGTATGGAGTAGGGGGGATGCCTGACCCTGCACACCAGCTGTGTAGATGTGGGAGAGGGATTTCTTCCAGATGCAGGATCTCAGTAATATCCCTTGTTTCTGCCTCCATGGCTCACTCCTGCCCTCCACTGATGGCCACTCTCTCAGCTCATCCCACTGAAGACACCACGACGCTCTCTGAGAGACCATCCCCAAGCACAGACGTCCAGACAGACCCCCAGACCCTCAAGCCATCTGGTCAGTAATTGCCTCCCCAGACGGGAAGCAGGCTATTTTCTGTTCACTGTGTATTTCCAGCACCTGGAATACAGCCCAGCACAGAATAGTTCTCAGTAAGCACGTGATGGGAGAGTAAATGACTTCAAGTCTGGCAGAGGGTGGGCACATGATAAATGTCTGAATAGATAAATGAATGCATAAATTATTGCTGCATACAAACCACCTAAAAACTCAGTGGCTTAAAATGATAACTTTATTTAGCTCTCATTTCTGCAATTTGGAAATCTAGGGTTTGCTCAGCTGGCTGGTTCTTCTGGTTTCAGCTGGACTTACTCAAGTCTCTGAGGTCAGTTGTGGGTCAGCAGGGAGCTCTGTTTCTAGGGGCAATTTGATTCTTTCCCTGGTGATCTTATCCTCCACTTCCTGCCCAGTCAACTCCCGAGTGAATGAATGGAAATGATATGCCCATGGGTCACATAGAGAGCCCGTTCATCCATTCATTCAACAAATATTCACTGAGTACCTGTTGTGTGCTAGGCTAGGTTCTAGGGGACAGAGATAGGGTGGTGAACAAGCCAGACAAAATCTCTGCCCTCATGGAACGACTATTCTAGTGGTAAGAGAAACACAACAAGAAATAATCATAATAATTATGTATCAGTTGATTTTAACTTGCTATCAAGAAAAATAAAGTAGGGTTAGAGAGTGACTGGGGAGTACAGGTTGAATATTCCTTATCCAAAATGCTTTGGACCAGGAGTCTTTCAGATTTTGGGTTTTAGAATATTTGCATTATACTTACCAGTTCAGCATTCCTGACCCAAAAATCTGAAGTCCAAAATGTTCCAATGGGCACTTCCTTTCGGTGCCATGTCAGACTGTTACCAGAAAGGGGTCCCAATCCAGACCCCAAGAGAGGGCTCTTGGATCTTGCACCAAAAAAGAATTCAGAGTGAGTCCATAGAGTTTATTAAGAAAGTAAAGGAATAAAGAATGGCTACTCCATAGACAGAGCAGCCTATTTTTATGGTTGTTTCTTGATTATATGCTAAACAAGGGATGGATTCATGAGTTTTCTGGGAAAGGGGTGGGCAATTCCTGGAACTGAGGGTTCCTCCCCTTTTTATACTGTATAGGGTAAGTTCCTGACATTGCATGGCATTTGTAAACTGTCATGGTGCTGGTATTTTAGTGTCTTTTAGCATGCCAATGTATTATAACTAACGTATAACGAGCTGTGAGGATGACCAGAGGTCACTCTCATTGCCATCTTGGTTTTGGTGGATTTAACTGGCTTCTTTACTGCAACTTGTTTTATCAGCAAGGCCTTTATGACCTGTATCTTTTGCCGACCTCCTGTCTCATCCTATGACTAACAATGTCTAACCTCTGGGGAATACAACCCAGTAGGTCTCAGCCTTATTTTACCCTATTCGAGATGGAGTTGCTCTGGTTCAAACACCTCTGACGTGACATCAAAAAGTGTCAGATTTGGGAGCATTTTGGATTTTGGATTTGGGGATTAGGGATAGTCAACCTGTATTTCATATACAAAACCAGGGAGGGCCCCACTGGGAAGGGAGTGAAGGAGGGAGTCATGCGGATGTCTAGAGAAAGTGTGTTCCAGGCATAGGAAACAGCCAGTACAAAGGCCCTGAGGTGAGAAGGTGCCTGCATGTTCAACAGCAGGGAGGCCTGTAGGACTGGAGTGCAGGGAGTGAGGGGAATGGGGAGGAAATGAGATTAGAGGAATAATGGGAACCAGATTGCGTGCCATGGTGAGGATTTTGGTTTTTGTTCTGAGGGTACCCAGGTGTCCCCTTTCCTGACTTTGCCATTCTTATATTCACTTCACAAACCTTTGCTGAACCCTGACTTGCTCTTTGTCTGCCTCTCCAGGTTTTCATGAGGATGACCCCTTCTTCTATGGTAAGTTATCCACAGGAAGATAGGGGGGAAGGAAAGGTGAAGGCCCCTCTGACTCTACCCCTCATTTTTCTCTCTGCAGATGAACACACCCTCCGGAAACGGGGGCTGTTGGTCGCAGCTGTACTGTTCATCACAGGCATCATCATCCTCACCAGTGAGAACTGGGGTTGGGTGGGAAGGGCACCAAGACCAGGAGGGGGCTTATGACTGAGGGCTGGGTTCTCAAAGGTCCCTGGGCAATTTTGTTTTAAATGAGGTATCTATTAGCTGCATATCCATACAAACCACCACAGAATTCAGTGGTTTAAAATAATGACCATTTATTGAGCTCTCAAGACCATAGTTTGAAAATGTAGGCTGGGCTCAGCTGGATGATTCTTCTGGTCTCAACTGGATTTACTCTTGCATCTGAGTTCAGTTGTGGGTCAGCAGGAAACTCTGTTTCTGGGGCACCTTGGCTCCTTGCCTCATCATCTTATCCTTCACTAAGCTAGCCTGGGCTTGTTCACATGGTGGTGGCAGGGGTCTAAGAGACAGTGAATGCATGTAGGCTCAGAACTGGCCATTATCACTTCTGCCTCATTCCATAGGTCAAAGCAAGTCACAAGGCTGGGCTTCACTCAAGGAAATAGACTCCACCTCTTGATAGGAAGACAGGCAAAGTCACATGGCAAAGGACATGGATACTGACAGGGAGGGGTAGAGACTAAGGGCCATTTGGCAGTCAGCATACCACCCCAGCAGTCATAAGCTCACTGCACCCAGGCCCGGCAGGGAACAAGGGTTAAACAAGGCTGTGTTGGGAGGAGACACCTGAGGATTAAATGCCTCATGGAACAACCTCACCCACTCAATCCAGCAAGAATAGAGGCTTGGAGCAGCCAGAGTAACTACTCTTTTAAGAGTTTAATGTTTCTGTAAAATCTTTTGGTACCCACATGTTGACAGCTGTGTTGATCAGATTCATGGCAGGTGGCAGAAGGACCTGCAAAGGGTTAACTGGAGAACGTTTAATAGAGTGATATCTCCGAGGTACAGTCAGGGTAATGAGATGGTGCAGTGCCCTAGGACCAGCAAGGATGGAGACCTGTTATCCCCCAGCCTGAGGGACGAGAGGGGATACTGGCTTTGCAGGAGGCCTGGTGAGAGATGGAACTGGGGGTGGGGCTGCTGGAAGGAGCTGTGGCCTCAGAAAGAGGGTTCCAGCCACTGCCTCACTTGTGACCAAACCAGGAGGGAGCAGGGGTGGTAGGGATCAGATACCTAAACCTCCCTCTCCTCCCACCCCACTGTCTCCTGCCAATGCTTAACTAGAGGGCAAGGGGCCCAGGGCCCAACGCAGGGACAGGAAGGTGTGGGGAAAGGCAGAATAACAAGCAGAGAAACTAATTTTTAAAAAAGATTTTCAAAATGTTGTGGGTGAAATAAAACACAAGCTGTCAGTTAATCTGTATAACGAATGCCAAGTTTCATTACCTCTCTTGTCCAACTTCCTTATCAAGAAAATGAGCATAGTCACATCTTTTTTTGCCTTAAGGGGAGAGGCAGAATTCTAACAATCATAAAACATGATTCCTGATATATGCGTAATCCCCACTGAATCTGAGAGTCAAGCACTCTTGCCTCGTTTATGCAACATGTGTGTGTTGATCCTGACTTTGCGCCAGGCTCTATTCTCACCCCAGTGGTGAAGTTAAGGCTCAGAGAGTTAAGGAGTTTGCCTAAGGTCACGCAGCACATAAGAGTCAGTGAATTCATTTGCTGGCGGGTCACGGTGGCTCACTAATCCCAGTACTTTGGGAGACCAAGGTGGGAGCATGGCTTGAGCCCAGGGGTTCAAGACCAGCCTGGGCAAAATGGCAAGACCCTGTCTCTACACAAATAATTTTTTTCAATTAAAAAAAAAAGAATCAGTGAAGGATTGGACCCAGGTTTGTGTGAGAGCAGAGCCTGAACGTGAGCTCTGGGGCCATGTATTTTTCCAACAGCAAATACTTGTGGGCATCTCGTCTGTGCCAAACCTATGCTGGGTGATACTGGGGGCATGGTGGTGACAAGCAGCCCTGGTCCCTGTCCTCAGGAGCTCACATCTGGTCAGGAGAAGATGATAAGCAAATACATGCATGAATGAGTGGATACAGAGAAAGATACTTGCCAAATAAAGCAGAGTGACGGGGAAGAGAGGGGTGGGGAGAGAAGCCCTCCCTGGAGTGGTGAAATTGGAACTGACACCTGATGATGAGAAGATGAATCACCAGGTAGAGAGGGCAGCAAGTGCCAAGCCCTGGAGGCAGGAATGAGCTGCGCCCATTGCTATAGCAGTGGAGGAAGCAAAGTAGCCAGGACAGGATAGGCTGCGGGTGAGTAGAAGAAGACAAGGCCAGAGAGCTGAGGGACTGGAGGAGGCAAGGGTGGCTGGTGTTTTCTAAAGTACCCTTGGCTTCTAAGGTCCCCCCTCCCTCACTCTAGACCAGCCACAGATGAGTCTCTGGAGCCCATCTGTGTCCTCCTACCTCAAGGCCTTTGCGCTGCTGTTCCCTCTGCCTGTAACACCCTTCCTCCAGGTGTCTCCCTTACCTCCTTCAGACCTTTGCTCAAATGTCACCTCCTTGGCGGGCCGCAGTGGTTCACGTATGTAATCCCAGCACTTTGGGAGGCCAAGGCAGGTGGATCCCTTGAGACCAAGAGTTCAAGACCAGCTTGGCCAACATGGTGAAACCCCGTCTCTACTAAAAATACGAAAATTAGCTGGGCGTGGTGGCATGTGCCTGTCTTCCCAGCTACTCGGGAGGCTGAGGCAGGAGAATCACTTGAACCTGGGAGGCGGAGGTTGCAGTGAGCTGAGATTGTGCCACTGCACTCCAGCCTGGGCAACAGAGAGACGGTGTCACAGCAAGACTGTCTCAAAAAAAAAAAAAAAAAAAAAAGCCACCTCCTCATTGAAGCCCCAGTAGCCATCCCTGTGAGAATGAGCCCAGCTCCTGGGCCTCCATGCCTCCTTCCTGGCCTTATTTCCCATCATAGGACTTAACACCATCCCACGTAGTGCCTTCATACATTTGACTTTGTTATTTTTCTCCTTGTTGGTCTTTCCCCATAGAAAGACAACTCTGCCAGGGCAGGGATTTTTTTCTTTGTCCTCAACTGTGTTCTTAGTGCCTGAATGAATGAATAAGTGACATACAAAATAATGGGAGTTCCCAAACGGCTCATCTGTGAGCCTGTGTGGGAAGCGCCTCTCACAGGGCTTCTCAGTGCGTTTTTCCATCATCTGTTTATGGAGCTGCCTTTGAGCTTCCCTAGGGGCAGGGTTGATCAACCTGCTTCCCCAGCCCCAGAACACACAAGAAGAATCAATATCGCTGTAGCTCATGACTGAACCATTTCCTTCCCCCACAGGTGGCAAATGCAGACAGCTGTCCGGGTTATGCCGGAATTATTGCAGGTGAGTCCATCAGAAACAGGAACCGACAACCCGCTGAGCACCCCAAGACCAAGCCCCCTGCCAGCTCACCGTGCCCAGCCTCCTGCATCCCCTCGAAGAGCCTGGCCAGAGGGAAGGCACAGACGATGAAGCTGGAGCCAGGGCTGCCGGTCCGAGTCTCCTACCTCCCCCAACCCTACCCGCCCCTGAAGGCTGCCTGGCGCCTTGGGGACTGTCCCTCAAGTTATCTCCTCTGTTCAGACAAAAAGTAAAGCACTGTGGTCTTTTCCCCAGGATCTCTGATCATTTGGGACAGGGGAGTGGAAAGAGGAGGCAGGGGCTGCCTTGGGGCCCTCAAGGAATAAACAAAGGCTGGACGTGGTGACCCACATCTATAACCCCAGCCCTTTGGGAGGCTGAGGCGGGAGGATCACTTGAGGCCAGTAGTTCAAGACCAGTCTGGGCAACATAGTGAGACCTTGTCTCTACAAAAAATAAAAATATTAACTGGGCGTGGTGGTGCATGCCTAGAGTCCCAGCTACTCAGGAGGCTGAGGCAGGAGAACTGCTTGAGCCCAGGAGGTCGAGATTTTAGTGAGCTGTGATTGAGCCACTGTATTCCAGCCTGGGTGACAGAGTGAGATCCTGTTTCTAAAAAAGAAAAATAAAAAAAGCCAAGGCAGGGAATAAAGTGAAGGAAGCCAGTCTAGTGTGTGGCAGACAGGATGGTGGTAGGTGGGTGCAGGTGACTCTGTGTGCTGGGTGACTGGCCAGAGAGAGAGCCAAGGCTGGCTTCTGCCTGCAGGCAGTTTGAGAACACTGGTATGGTCCCCACAGGGGAGCAGGTACCCAGTGTCAGCTCACCCCTAACATTTTTAAGGGTTTGGAAGTTCCAGATCACAGGGATCCCCTCTCCTTCCTACTTGTACTCCCTTCCCACACTGGGAGGGGCCTTGCATACATGAGTGTGGACGCCGCAGCCTGCACCTCCAAGTTCCACCCACAGCCCCCAGTACACATATGGCCACCATCTGGGCCACTTCTTGGCTTAGGAATGTGTCCACCAAGAAGGCCTTGCAGGCCCCGGCATGGGCTCAGAGCAATTTGAGAGAGGAATTCAGGGGTCCTAGGGATCTAGAACTTGGTCAAGAAGAGCATAGATGCTGGTGGGCACTTCCTAAAGGCCCTTGGCTCCACCAGATTAGGCCACAGCAGGGCCCCTGAAGTGCAGGACTTAGACCAGAGCTCTACCCAGGCTTAAGGGTCATGCCAAAGTCAAGAGACAAGGTCCTGGTCACAGGGCTTGCATAACCATGTTTCACAAACTTCAGGTCACAGCCCATTCATGGGTTACTAAATCAGTTTAGTGGGCTCTGAGTAGCATAAGAAAAAAGAGAGAAAGAGGCCGGGCGCGGTGGCTCAAGCCTGTAATCCCAGCACTTTGGGAGGCAGAGGCGGGTGGATCACGAGGTCAGGAGATCGAGACTATCCTGGCTAACATGGTGAAACCCCGTCTCTACTAAAAATACAAAAAAAAAAAACTAGCCGGGCGTGGTGGCGGGCGTCTGTAGTCTCAGCTACTTGGGAGGCTGAGGCGGGAGAATGGCATGAACCCGGGAGGCGGAGCTTGCAGTGAGCCGAGATCACGCCACTGCACTCCAGCCTGGGAGTACAGCGAGACTCCGTCTCAAAAAAAAAAAAAAAAAAAAAAAAAAAAAAAGAAAAAAGAGAGAAAGAAAGAATAATTTTAAAAAGACATTAGTACATCACTAATAACAAGTGTAAGATTGTATATATATAATATACATACCATGTCATAAACATTGTATGTAATATAATAATATATATAATGTAAAGAATACGACAATTATAATTACAATAACATATTGTTTTAATGCATCACTATAAATGTTATTACTGCATCACTAGTCTCAAATGTAAGACTGTATATATAATATATAGCATGTTATATACATTATATATGTATACATATATATGTTATAATATGTATATTATGCACATACAGGGGGATACTAAAATTATTTCATTATTTGCACCTACCACCTAAAGCAGAACAGATGTCTAACTGATCAGGAGGGGATGTCATCTAGGTATGAGTATACATTTATATATACAATGGATTAAGTCTTTTTTTGTTGTTGTTTTTGAGGTGGCGTCTCACTCTGTCTCTCAAGCTGGAGCTCAGTGGAGCGATCTCAGCTCACTGTAACCTCCGCTTCCCAGGTTCAAGCGATTCTCCTGCCTCAACCTCCCAAGCAGCTGAGATCACAGATGCCCACCATCACGCCTGGCTAATTTTTGTATTTTTAGTAGAGATGGGGTTTCGCCATGTTGGCCAGGCTGGTCTCGAACTCCTGACTTCAGGTGATCTGCCCACCTCGGCCTCCCAAATTGCTGGGATTACAGGCATGAGCCACCTTGCCCAGCCTGAGTATGTCTATTAAATTGAATCATTTGAAAATGGCAATATTCAAATGTGTTTGACCTATAAAACTAGCAATGTCATATGGCTCAATCTAACAGTATACATGATAGTGTGCTATGAAATGCATTTCATACTGCAGGTCGCTTTTTGAAAACGTTGAGAAGCACTGGGGAGTGGGGGACATAGGTTGTGGTAGGCAAGATAAATTTCTGCTTAGAACAGGAAATGCTGACGGCTATGTTTGCCTGCTGGCGGGGTGGTGCCGGTCGGTGTGTGCAAGATGTTTCTAGGACAATAGTTCTCAAACTTCAATCATCACATACTCCCAACTTCTGACATATTTTCACCCCATCTGTACTATTATTCTCTCTTTTGAAAGATCAACTCCCTTTTTAGCTTAAACATATTTATTTTAAAACCTGCAATCATATATGGAAAATCAGTACTGCTTAATATAGATAGAAGATAGCTATAAAGATAAATCCAAGGCCAGGTGCAATGGCTCACGCCTGTAATCTGAGCACTTTGGGAGGCCGAGGCAGGCAGATCACCTGAAGTCAGGAGTTCGAGACCAACATGGCCAATATGGTGAAACCCCGTCTCTACTACATAAAAATACAAAAATTAGCTGAGTGTGGTGTTGCGCGCCTGTAGTCCCAGCTACCCAGGAGGCTGAAGCACAAAAATTGCTTGAACCAGAGGCTGCAGTTAGCTGAGATCGTGTCACTGCACTCCAGCCTGGGCGACGGAGTGAGACTCTGTCAAATAAATAAATAAATACATTCAGTGAAAAGAAGTGAAGATGTTATGTTGCATTCTAGCTGGGTCTGGAGTTTCTTGCAGAGGGCTCTGAACCAGAGGCCTGGGTCTGTGGTGTTGGAGGGAGACCCTCAAATATCAGGGAGGTGGTCCTCACGCTGCTGCCCAAAGAAACTGCAGGGTTTGGGAGGCCCAGGAGAACTCTCACTTCTGACACCAGCTGCAGGTTTGAGGGTTCCCGAGGGTTTGACAATTCACTACAGGGACTCACGGAACTCACTGAATGCTGTCAGACTCACAGTTATGGGTTATTAGAGTGAAAGGAAACAGATGAAAGCCAGCCAAGGACAGAGACACGTGAGGAAGCATCCAGGAATGTCCCAAGTGCAAAGCTTCCAGCTGTCTCCTCCCAGCACTGTCTTCTGTCTGTACCCATGTGGGACAGTACACGCAGAGTGTTGCCAATCAGGAAAACCCACTCGAGCCTTGGCGTCCAGGGTTTTTACTGGGGTTCAGTCACATAGACGTAATTGACCACACGTGTGACCGACATTAGTTTCCAGCCCCTCCAGGGGTGGAGCTGATACTGTGTGGCCCACAGCCCCCACTGGAAATCACACCGTTAGAAATGATCTGGCATGGCCCTAGGTCCCTATGTAAATAGAGACACTTATCAGGCAGAATATTCCAAGGGCTTAGAGATTATCTTCCAACAGCAAGGCCAAAAGTCAGCCCTTTCTTTGGGGTAAAATTAATTC